CCTATAAATAAATGTTTATAATAATTCTATTCAAAATTGCTTCAAACTAGAAATATCCCTCTACAGGATAAATAAACTGTAGTGCAGCCATACACTGGAATATTATTGAGCAATAAAACAGAATCAACCACTGATACATACAACAACCTGGATGAATTTCAAAGACATAATGCTGAGTAAAAAAGCCAGCCTTGAACGGTAACCTACAATATAATTCCATTTATAAGACACCAGTTGTTATCAGGCTTAGGGCAGGATAACCAGAGGTTAGGAATGTGGGACAAAGGGTTAGCACCCGAAGTTACTTTTGGGAATGGAAGGGTTCTTTATCTCAACTGTGGAGGGGGTTACATGAATGTATGTATGAGTTACAATTTATAGAACTATATGCCAACCAAATAACCAAATTTACTGTATGTTAATGTTAAGCATGCCAAAACCTTTTAAAAGTACATAGTATAAATTATCTCAGAACTTTCTAATGCTTTACAAATTAAGGTTCAAAAGTAAATCTTTTGAGCATAGGTATATCTGTGAAATGGAAGAATAAAGAGATACTGGAAGGAGATTTACAAAATTACCTACAAAGATATGACATGGATATAAATTCTAGACTCAAACAACTATATCCCTCAACCAACCACAAAGGCTATTATTACCTAGTGTCAACAAAACACAAATATTTAATATCACCAAGTGACAAAGATAATCTGAGACAAAACAAACAGAGCATATAGAAACCAGACAGAAGTCTGAATAAAGATTACACATTCATGCAACTGGTCCTTGGAACAGAAATAACAATACTATCCATTGTAAGTATGGAATGAGCTTTGTTTTTTCTAATAGCGGTCACAGATTTACACTAATTTATTTGTATTTTCCTCACTTGATTCCCCTTGGCATCAAAAACATGCACTTCGAGGAATGCTGACTGGGATGAAACATTAAGACTGGTCATAGGTGTACCACTCTAAACCATCCTAAGAAGGCATGAAAAAAAAATTTTTTTTCCTCTAAGAAAATAACCCCACAGCACATCTGTACACCAAAACACACAAGAGGATTATAATTCAAAGATAACTACTCATTGTCTGTAAATATATATATTTTTGAATGGCTGCCATAAAGGTTGGTAGTAGATGATTAAAAGCCTTTTATTTAAGTAAGTGACCTATCTCACTGTCCCTAACATTTCCCAATTCTTAACGCATTAAATGTAAGTTTAATGTGGGAGCACAGGTTGGTTCAAATGACAATAGTGCTAGTATAATTTCTGAACCTTAAATCTTCTGAGGATATGAGCTGTAAGTAGAAAATCCAGCTTCCTATTTTTATGTGTGTGTTTGATTATGCTAAAATATAAAATATGGGGCAATTAAAAAATTGACAATAAATATTTAGCTATTAATCAACAAGTTAATTACTGAATACTTAAAATATTCCAAGCCCTAGCTGACACTGGCTTACGTCTATAATTGCAGCACTTTGGGAGGCTGAGGTAGGAATCACTTAAGCCTAGAAGTTTGAGATAACATAGGGAGACTCCATTCCTTCAAAAGAAAAAAAAAAGTAAGAAAATAGCCAGGTGTGGTGGCAGGAGCCTGTAGTCCTAGCTACTTGGGAAGCTGACACAAAAGATCTGCTTGAACCTCAGAGTTTGAGGCTGCAGTGAACATGATCACACCACTGCTTTCCAGCCTGGCTAGGTAGCAGAAAGAGACCTGTCTCAAAAGAAAAAAAATTAAAAAGAAAGAAAGAAAAATAAAATAGGGGAAAAAAAAAATCCAAGCCCTAAGGGTCACACAAAAGAGAGATCAAAATGATGCAGGTCTGCTCAGTGGTTAGGGTGCCAGCCACATACACCAAGGTTGGCAGGTTCAAACCCAGCTGGAGACTGCTAAACAACAATGACAACTGCAACAACAACAATAAAATAGCCAGGCACTGTGGCAGGCACCTGTAGTCCCAGCTACTTGGAAGGCTGAGGCAAGAGAATCACTTAAACCTAAAACTTTGAGGTGGCTGTGAGTGGTAACGCCAACGCACTCTACTGAGGGTGACATAATGAGACTTTGTCTCAAAAAAAAAAAAAAAGCCCTGTAAGATAATTAAATACCAGAACTGTAAATAATAAAGTACTATGTGGAACAATTGAAGAGTAATGTCAAAATAGATATCAAAACATTTTTTAACAAGTCTCCTATATGTATCTCTTCCATAGAAGAGAAAATAAATTCACCTGAAGTAGAGAGGCACTGTGATAAACTAGAGTCTAGTAACCTGTCTCAGTTATGCCATAAAAACACTTCTGGATAAGTCCTAACTGCTCTACAGTGTCTAGTTAGTAGACATGACACCTGACACAAAGAGGACATTTGTTCATTCACCTCTGATTTGGACCTGGATAAGCAAGAAAGGAGAGGCAGGCAGAGACTCCTTCTAGAAGGAACTCTTTAGGATGTCTGCACCTGAGAACAGCAAGTTCGCTGCTTAAATTTAAGACTGCATTCTCACAACCAAGTGAAAGGAAGGATGCTGACACCCAAAAGGAAGAGCTGGCTGCTCTCCTTGCCTCCTCCAGAGTACAAATACTTATTCAAGAACCTCAATGTCCTGGGCCCAGCTGCACTGGCACCTCACAGTCCCAGGGACCCCCTATGATGCATCAGCTGTCTGGCTCAGTTTCACTCTAGAAAAATAGAAAATTGGGCCAGATCCCATACATCATAATCTACAAATATAATGAATTAGAAACACTAACCAGAGAACACAAAGCATAAAAATTTGTCAGCTGTAGTAAGAACAGCTTATTAAATTTGCTCTCTGGACTTTGTTTTAGAAGAAATATCAAGCTGTTTTAGAAATGCCCAGTTGGAAACGCAAATGCTACTGAATTCCTTAAAAGAAAGATTCTTACCTTAGTCTCAAAATATTGAAATGGCTAAATCTCACAGTAAAACAAATCTATGCAAAAATTCACCATTGTTCTTCACAAACTATGTTCTTCAGAACAACAATGTTCCTGTAAATCAATTAATGCTAGTACCTCTACAATACTAAGAACAGAATTCCCTCCCACCCATGTTGGCAGGAATCAAGAAAAGATCAAGTGTACCATTAAGTTACAGACCTCAAATCCAGAAGGAGATGAAAACAATCTCAACAGTTACTGAATGATGCCAATCACTCTACAATCTTAACAGTTAGTAATGATGCCAATCACTCTACATGGATTACCTTATTTAGGTTCTTGCAAGGATCCTATAAGGTACTGGTTAATACTACTATTTCAGTGATGAAAAAATTCAGGTTCAGGAGGTTAAATAACTTGCCTACAGCTACAGAGCCATTTACAAAGCCTAAAAATGAGTTAATAAAGAATGAACCACTAGCCTTCAAGACAACACACACTTATCAGTGAACACAATCATTCCCATCCTTTTGGCACATAGAGCCCTACAGTGAAGGTGCTGGCCATCAGATCATCATGATTTGATAGTCTTCAGTATACATTTTAAAATTTGCTTTGTTTTCTATATTAGTCTTCATTAGGTTTGCTTAGAATGAAATCAGTGCACCTGACAAAACTAAGCTTCTGGACCTGCAACTGCTGAACGATAGACTCTAGACTTGAAGGTCTTTTCTGGGGTCCTGTATGGGGGTACCTCCCCAGAGGACACCTCTATTTCCTTGTTCATTAACTACAACATTCCTCTGTCTCTTGAATGTTATTAACCTTCTGCTTTAGATTTCTTACATGTCCTATATATAAGCAAAAGCTGTGTCACTAGAGTGAGTGCCTGAACAGCACCAGGTTCATATCCTTAGAAGCCAGGGCCACACAGCAAATGTAGTATTTTATTAAGACAAATAAAAACAATGATTTCCATTCTTTTTTTTGACATTAGTCCATCCACCCCTGCAAAGAAATGGGCAGTAACAGTGACTGAGAAAGCAAAACCAAAACCTCTTGAAAAAACAGCTCTGGAAAAAGGAGAAAAGGAAAGAAAGTTAATACTAAATCTACTCAAGCCCTTACAGAAGTGCTATACAGAAACTTACTTTTGCGTTAGGAAACATGGGAGACTGATTTAGCCTGAAAAAAGTAAGATGTATATTACAGACATAGTATAAGAATAAACATCCCTTTCATTAAATCTAAAGGGTGTCCTAAAGGTCGCCAGAAAAACTAACACACTTGTATTATATTTTTTATATTTATATATCAACATGTAGAGAAATATTTTGTAAAACTTTGTAATGAATATTTTATAAATAAAGGTAAATTTAGCTACAATTTCCCATTTCCCCTATGTATGGGGACACCTTGCATAAAGCTTAAGCTAAAGAATCTACAAAAATGGGGGGGGGGAGTAAAGGCATGATCAAGATAAGAAAAGTTAAAACTCACTTAAATCCACCTTCCCTCATCCCTCTCCTCATCATTAGTTTTCTCAGAATTTTAAAAATTAAAGTATGTTACTCTTTGGATGATTATGAACATAGTATGTACTTATTGTAGAAAATGTGAAAAATATTATAATAAACTAATGTTAACCTAATTTAGCATTAAAATATAGTACACACTTATTATAGAACATGTGAAAAATTATCTATAATCTACCCCCTCAAAGTTAGCATATTTTATTTTATATACTATTAAATAAATGTTTCCTTTTTGAGACACTCCAAAGTATCAGCTCACTTTTTCCATTCACTACAATGTAAACATTTCTTACACCCTTAAACATCCTAACACTCATGAGTTTTATTTCCTGCCAGTTATTTTTACTATAATCAGTACACTAAATAAAAATTTTAAAGACCATGATTTGTAATGGAATTATAGCATTTGGTTACATGGCTATTGCATAATTTAATCATTTGAGAAGCTTCTAATTATTTTTAACATTATAAATACCACTGTAACGATGGATAAGTAACAAACACATATTTGTATGCATTGCTTATTTTCTTATGATAAATTCCTAAGCATGGTGCTTGCTTTGGCAGCACAAATGCTAAAATTGGAATGATACAGAGAAGATACATCCATGGCCCCTGCGCAAGGATGACAGGCAAATTCATGCAGTGCTCCACATTTAAAAAAAAAAAAAATTCTCAAGGATGAAATTTTGGGACAAAAAGTGTAAGCATTTTAAGGATTATGATGAACATTGCCAAACTGTCAGTTAGAAAGCTGCACCAATGTATGCTCTCACCAGCAGCAGATATCTGCCAACACTTGGTTCTTTTCTATGGAAGACAACTATGGAGCATGCAATTAATGACAAAATAACTCTAACCTCGTAGGCTTTTTCAGTAATCTTTTTTAAGCTTAGAAGAAAGTCTTTTCAAAAGTAGTATCTCTCATAGTAAATATTCATCTATGGTTGAACAATTTTTCCTCTGTTGCTTTTATTTAACAAATTTACCTCAGTTAATTAAACTTAAATGCTTTAAATTAAAAATAGCGTGAAATGCATAAATCTATTTTTAAAATAAAATTATCCTTCTATATGTATATTTGCATAAAAGATGTCTATGATGTTCGGACAATTGGTCAACTCTGGGTTTTGGTATACTGAGTTACTTTTCCTCTTATTTTACTTTTCTGTAACTCTCTGTATTGCTTGAAAATTAAAATATAAGCTGTAATACATCTTTTTCCCCCTCTCTTTAAAGATTTCTCTTTTTACTGTTGGTTTTACACAATTTTATTAAATTTAGGATTAGCTTACCTCTAATACTTTTATGGGGTCTACTGAATACATGAGGTGTTCAATGAGGCCTCTTTATTGTGGCTGCTAGGAATTTTAACAGCTCCCAGACCTTAGCAAGCTCAGGTGTTTGTTCAGCTCACACTCTGTAGCTGTTTTTTTCCCTAGATGTTATTCTTTGGCTGAACTCATGGAGTATTGATGCAGCTTAGTCTCCAAGTAAGAATCTCTCTATAGGAAATTTCCAAAACTTCCTTTCTACAGCTCCCTCCTTCTAGTACTTTAGCTCCTCAAATTCCAGTGACCTCAGTAGCCCCCAACTTTGAACACTTACTTCCTCGGTGAGACATATTAATTACCTCAGGTAAATAATCGTAAGAATTACCACTGACTTCTCATTAGAAACAATCTAAGTTAGAAGATAATAAAATGATAACTTTAAAGTACTAAAAGAAAAGAAAAATGTTGTTGACTTAAAATTCTATATAGCCAGCATAAATATCCTTCAAAAATGAAGGCGGAAGACTGTGACTTCTAGTCATGAGCTAGTAACAAGGTTCAGAACTGTCCTCCTGCCATAAACAAGTAGAAAACTAGAAAAAAATCCCAAACAATAGTTTTCAGACATTAGAAGATCGGCAGTTACATGTATGAAAACATAGTCCCTGGAAGCAGGAAAACAAATGAAGAGAGACCTATGACTGTCCCAGCTTTCTGCCTGAAGCCACACAACCAGAAGAAAAAACAAATAGTCAATAGTCTCACTGAGCTGAAGTGACAGAGTTCAACTTGGTTTGTGGGGTCTGAAGTGGCTAGAATTTGTAGGACATAGTTCTACAATGGAAGAAGCTATACAGAGAAAGTGCTCCAAAAATCTACAAAAGAGATTTTCTTGAGTTTCGGCTAAACACACTCTACATATGTGTGGTGTGTAACCCCATAAGGCTTGACAAAGAAATATCCAGGAAAATAAATACTGGGAAGTTCTTGACCAAACAACTCAGAGTTCACACAAGGCCAAGACCATTCAGTTTCCACCAGCTAGAATGAACAGACTTTGATGGATACACGGGGAGATCAAGGCAGAGGAAAGATGCATGCCTCACTACTGGGCCCTAATAAGTCCTAAACTGAAACCTATGTTCTAGAACTATCCCCAAACAAAAACCCCAAAACCACAAATCCTGAAGACAAACTTGAAAGATGAAGTTGATCCATAAAAATAAACCTCCTGTAAGAACAAGACTTAAGACTCAAGAAACACCAATTCCTTTAAACAAAAAAGACATACAACATTATAAAATCTATCAAAAATTACCAAATATAAGAAAAGGCAAGAACCTGCTTTGATTATGATAATCTATAATCAAGACCCAGAAATGGCAGAGGTAAAGTACATTCAAACTGAGAGACTCTACAATAGCTACTAGAAAAGAGTTTAAAGACTTAAAGGAAAACATCAACATCATGAAGAAAAAGAAATATTTTAATAAAGAAATCAAACTATATATATTAAAAAGGAATCTTGGCTAGAGAAAAGACTCATGCTTAGGCCAAAGTGGGAGGATAGCTTAGCCCGAAACCCAAGAGTTCAAGACCAGCCTGGGCAATGGCTGAACCTTGTCTCTAAAAAAATAAAGAAAATAGCCAGGTGTAATGGTGTGTGCCTGCAGTCCCAGTCACGTGGGAGGGTGAGGCTGGAGGATTGCTTAAAGCCCAGGAGTTTGAGGCTGCAGTGAACTATTACGATGCCACTGCATTCTAGCCCTGACAACAGAGATCCTGTCTCAAAAAAATAAATAAGTTAAAAAGAAATAAAGAAACCTTATGGAAATTCTAGAACTGAAAAAGAAAAGTATCTTATATTAAAAAATTAACCAGATAAGCCCAATAGCAAATTAGACAAAGAAGAAAGTTAAAACAAAATTAAGTCATCCTAAAGCCAGGGCAACAGAAACTTTCCAAACTGAAGGAAAAAGAAAGAAATTAGAAGAAAAATGGACAGCACTTCAGTAATCTGTGAGTTAATACACATATTAAGTAGTTGAACATATGTAGGATTGAAGTCTGAGGAGAAAAGAGATACTTTGGAAGAAAAAAATTGAAGACAGGTAGCTAAAAATTTTATAAATTTGATAAACACAATGCATCAACAGACCCAAGAAGCTCAATAAACTCCCCCCAAACCACCAATGATTCAGAGAAAATCTTAAAAGCAGCCAAAAGAAAAAATTTTATGAACAGGGAAACAAGTACAAGAATTACCACAGACTTCATGTCAGACTATGCAAACAAGAAGCCAGAGGAACAATGTCTTTAAGATGATGAAAGGAGGAAAAAACCCTGAAAATCAAGAATTCTAAGTCCACAACAATAACTTTCAAATTTGGAAACAAGAGGAAAATTTGTACTATAAGAAATGTAAAAGGAAATTTTTCAAGCAAAAGAAATGCACTTGATATATACAAATGAAGAGTTAAAGACATGGTTAAAATGAAAGTAAATATTAAAGATACTTTTCTCATCTTCAATTGTTCCAAAAGGTAACTACCCGACAAAGCAAAAAGAATACATAAATCAAAATGTATGACAAAAGCACAAAACAAAGGAGGAATTGGAAATATACTATTATAACTATGATTCTTGTATTACACGTTAAGAGGTATAATATTTGAAGATAGGTCATGATTAATAGGACCTCCACTAAAAAAAATTTTAAGAGATACATAGTATAAACTTGTATGCTGTTCAGGTTGGTCTTGAACTCTTGGCCTCTAGTGATTCTCCTGCCTCAGCCTCCTAAATTCCTGGGATTATAAGCATGAGCCACTATTCTTAACTCAAAAGATTCATTCTTTGAAATGATGAATGAAATTTATATCCACTCCTAAATTAGATTATATCCAGAGAGAAAGGGGAGAAAATAAATCCAATATCAACAATTAGACCAAGGGAACAGATCCTACTGACATTAAAGAGAAATATTGTTTCATAAAATTTATAATTTATTTTCATGCTGATAAATTCAGCAAGTTAGATGAAATGGACAAATTCCCCAAAAGATAAACTACCAAAACAGCCTCAAAAAGAAATAGAAAATCTGAACAGCCCTGTTATCTATTCTTGTTTAAATTGAATCCTTAATTAAGAACCTTTCTACAAAGAAAACTCCAGGGCCAGATGGCTTCCTTGATAAATTCCATCAAACATTCAAAGAACATCAATTTTACCTACACTCTTCCATAAAAGAGGAAACACTGCCTAATTCATTTTATAAAGCAAAAGCCAGCATAACTCTGATACCAAAATAAGATACAGTTGCTATTTAAAAAAAACAACTATGGACCAGTAGTTCTCAAACTTCGTAATGCCACAACCCTTTAATGCAGTTCCTCATGTTGTGGTGACTCCCAACCATAAGATTATTTTCGTTGCTACTCTATAACTGTAATTTTGTTACTGTTATGAATCGTAATGTAAATATCTGATACGTAGAATGTGTTTTCCAATAGTCTTAGGGGTTGAGACCCACCGGTTGAGAATCACTGCTAGACCAATATCCCTCATTGAATCCAGCAAAAACAAAACGAAAAGGATAATACATCTCATCCAGTGGCATTTATCTCAAGAATGCAACAAAGTTGGTCTAACAATCACATATCTATCAAGCAATATCATTTACCATCTCCATATATAACTATATAGCTATCTTGTTTTAAAAAAAAATTAAACCTCCACTTGTAGAAAAAAAACCCTAAGAAAATTAAAATAGAAGAGAATTGCTTCAATCTGATAAAAGGATTTATGAAAAACCTATAGCTAACATCATATTTAATGGTGAAAGATTGAATTTTTCCATTGTAAGATCAGGATTTGATCAAAGGGAGTGTTCTCACTATTATTATTCACTGTTCTCCTGGAGATCATGGTCAATGCAACAAGCATGGGAAAAAAGGCATTTCAACTCATTTCTTTCTTTCTTTAGACATAGGGTCTCGCTCTGTCACTCTGGCTGGAGTTACAGTGGTGTGATTAGTAGCCTTGTGGGCACAAGCTGATTATAGCTCACTGCAACCTCTTGGGCTCAAGCAATCGTCCAGCCTTAGCCTTCCAAGTAGCTGGTCCTACAGGCTCATGCCACCACACCTGGTTAATTTTTCTATTTTTCATAAAGACAGGGTCTTGTTGCCCAGGCTGGTCTCAACCTCCTGGTCTTAAGAGATCCTTCTGCCTTAGGGTCCCAAAGAGCTGGTTTACAGCCATGAGCCACTGTACCTGGCTGGCATTCAAATTCTTAAAAAAAAAATCTTTATTCACAGACCATATAATCAGGTATATAGTAAATCCACTGGTAGAAAAATTACCAAAACCAAAACAAACCTATTG